GATATTAATCTTCTATTAGAGTAGTAGCTGGCCAGAATTTTCTCTCATTCTGTAGGCTCTCTCTTCATGCACTTAATCATTTCCTTTACTATGAAGAAGCTTTTTCGTTTGAAGGCATACTACTTATTGATTCTTGGTTCTATTTCTTACACTTTGGGGGTCTTGTTAAGGAAGTCAATGCCAGTACCTATATAATGGAGTGTTAATCCTATGTTTCCTTCTAGCAGCTATAGGGTTTCTGGTCTTATTCCCAAGTCTTTTGATCCATTCCAATTTGAGTTTTGTGTAGGGTGAGAGATAGGGGTCTAGTTTCATCTTTCTACATATAGCTAATCCAGTTTTCCAAGCACCACTTGTTAAAAGGCTAACTTTCCTGCAAAATATATTTTTGGCTTTTTTTCAAGTATCAGGTCTGTGAATTTGTCTCTGTGTCTTCTATTCTGTTCTGTTTTCTTCATATCTATTTTGATGCCACTACCATGCTGTTTTGTTAGTACTGTATCATTTCAGATTTGGTATTGTTATGTCTCCTACTTTACTTTTCTTGCTTAGCATTTCTCTGGTTATCATGGATCTTTTATTCTTCCAAATGAATTTAAAAATAGTTTTTTTCCTAGTTCTGTGTAGAATGTCATTGCTATTTTTGATGGGAATTGCACTGTATCTGTATATTGCTTTTGATAGTATGGCCATTTTGACAATATAATTTTGCCTATCAAAGAACATGGGAAGTCTTTCCATCTTCTAAGAGGTCATTTTCACTTTATTTTTTCAGTGCTCTATAATTTTCATTATATAGCTCYTTTACCACCTTGCTTAGATTAATTATCAAGCTTTTTTAATTTTTTTTGAAGTTATTTTGAATGAGAAGAGTTTTCCTAATTCCCTCATTAGCTGAATCAATGTTGGAAAACAGGAAAGATTTATTAATTTATGAAAGCTGGGGCTGGGGTTGTGGCCCAGTGGTAGAGTGCTCGCCTAGCATGCATGAGGAACTGGGTTTGATTCTCAGCACCACGTAAATGTAAAAATAAAAAAAAATATATTAATTTATGAAAGCTGATTTTGTATCCTGCTACTCTCCTGAACTCTAGAAGACTTCTGATGGGGTTTTTTGGGTCATATTGTCAACAAATAGTTTGACGTATTTTTTCCCCATCTGTATCCTTTTGATTTATCTTTTTTTGCCTGATAGCTCTAACATTTCAAGGTCTATATTCAATAGGAGTGGTGACAGTGGACAACCTTGTCTTGTTCCTGATTTTACAGGAAAAGCTTTTAGTTTTTCTCCATTCCATATTATGTTGACTTGGGCTGGGGATGTGGCTCAAGCAGTAACATGCTCGCCTGGCATGCACAGTGTGCTGGGTTCGATCCTCAGCACCACATAAAAATAAAATAAAGATGCTGTGTCCACCGAAAACTAAAAAATAATTATTAAAAAAAATTCTCTCTCTCAAAAAAAATTATACCTTCCACATTATGTTGACTTTGGGCTTGTCAAAGCTTTATAATGTTAAGGTAAGTTCCTTGGATTCCTAGTTTCACCAGCATTTTTGGAGGGTGGGGTGGGCATACTGGGGATTACTCAGGGGCACTCAACTACTACTGAGACAGATCCCCCAATCCCAACACCTATTTTTTGTATTTTATTTAGAGACAGGGTCTCACTGAGTTGATAGCACCTCACTTTTTCTGAGGGTGGCTTTGAACTCATGATCCTCCTGCCTCAGCCTCCCAAGCTGCTGGAATTACAGGTGTGCACCATAGTGCCTGGCTTCACCAGCATTTTTAAGGTAATGGGTTCTGAATGATATCAACAATTAAAAAAAACATGAACTAGATAAGGCATTTGACAATGGGTATCTACTATTTTGTATAGTATATTAGTCCCCAAAACTTGAATGTGGTAGGATTTACAAAGTCTCATTGTTAGTTTGTGTTTTTGTCTTTTCTGTTCTTTATAATAAAGTGTAGCTGAAGACTGTCAATAATTTATATTTAGAACAAGGTGTGTGGTCGTTTTTTCAGCAGCAGATCCTGTACCTTGTGAACTTGTAGTGTCCCTGTAGGTTCTCAGAACCTCACAGAATAGGGCCAAACAATAGTAACAGCTGATGCAAATGATACACAACATTGAAGTACATACCCAGTTCGTACTATGACATCTACACATTAATTACCATAAAAACAGGAATGGTAGGGTCAGAAATTGTCAAAAGAAAAAAACAATAACCATAAGCTAGATCTGGCTTTAAAGCAAACAGCAGGTGCCAACCATGCCATCCATAGCAGTAATAATCACATTAGTAGGAGTGGGGGGGCAGAAGTCATATAAACCAATTAATTATAAAAAATGGTAAAAATACAGTTAATTAGGAGAAAAGAAAATATGCTAGGAAGGTAGAAAAGAGCTTATAATTTCAAAAAGTGAGCAGTGTGAATACAGAAGAGAGGTAGCAGGTGATGGTTACTGAAGGGGGAGAAAAAATAGGAGAAGAAAAGTAAAGGGAGAGAAGAAGAGAGAACAGTAGAATTTTGCTGTTAGAAGAAAAGAGACACAAACAAATGAAAACAATGCAAACTAAACTAAAAACCTCTAATCCTTAAAAAACAAGGCAAGGAAAAATAACTACATTAAAAAATGCTAAAAATGAGGGGCTGGGGTTGTGGCTCAGTGGTAGGGCATGTACCTTGCACGTGTGAGGCATTGGGTTTGATCCTTAGCACCACGTAAAAATAAATAAAGATATTGTGTCAATCTACAACTAAAAAAATATTTTTTAAAAATGAGAAAAAGGAAACAAATATGCATATGTCCTTGAATCAATCAGCACTCGTGCACGCACACACACGAACACACACACACAGACACACACACACACACACACAATTCTTAATGATAAAATGAAGGAATAATTTCTACTGCAGTGGTCAAAATAGTTTACAAGAATGGATAGTCACTGTCTATGCCCAAATGTCTTCTGACTCTTCTTGAGCTATATACTGAAGGGGGTGGGGTTTGGAGTTGTGAACCCCTTCCTCTTTTTGTGTTGTTTTCTGAGCTGCTAATTGGAGCAGCCTAAAACTGAAGCTGTTTGAAATATGTCTCAGCTTTCCTCCCACCAGTATGAGATAGAATGGATTAGGAAGTATTGTCAGTTGGAGTTTTGTCCATACAGACCACATCTGTGCACTTCCAGGGTAAAACTTCTGCAGAGTTCTATGAGGTGATTTCTGGCAGGTAAGACTTAGATCTAATCAGGCCTTATCGACTTTGTTGGGTGGTGTCTATTAGATTAACATACCCCTAGGGCCTAGCAGTTGYTGATCTCTGATGGGAGTCTGGATCTCAAGAACCTCCCTAAAGAGTTCCTCCCACGGGGCAGGGGAGCCAATTTTCCACACACTTTTCTGCTCACAAGACAGAGTCCCTGAGTGTTCATACCACCTGTTCAGACTCCTGGCTCACTTCTGCTTGTCACATGAGCCACCAGACTCAAAAGAGAAGTGAATTGGTCTCCTCTTCACTTTTATGACTTGAATCCCCTGGATACAATCTTAACTGTGCCTTTTTTTCACTCATGTCCTGTTAGGTACACCCTAGGCCACCTGGTAGGCACTTGCGAGGACAGTGTGGCAGTGTTTGCTACAATCTCCTGCTTCCACACCAGCAGCTGCAGTGTGGCTGCTTCACGATGGCTCTCACCTCAGCTCTCTGTGGCCAGTTGAAAAACAGTGCTTTTCAAGCATCAGTACACAGTGCAGCCTCTGGATCAGCTAAATTCAGGCTGCTTTTCTAATGTTGTTTTTTTTTTCCATATCAAATCTGTATTTCTCTGTGTTTTTCCTCCCTCTGTGGTGAACCAGTACTAATACCACTTCTGGCACACCACTGCCAGCTCAGCTCAAATGTATTCTTTCTTGTTTATTGTACCCAAATTTCTTAATCTCTAAGACACTTTGAAAGTCCAATACTGGATTTTACTGAAATACCTTTTACCCACCTTGCTAAGAGGCAGTACTCCTACTGCTTGAATCCTGAGCTACAGAAGAATTAGTAATGCAGCCTTCCTCTACCCTTCCATCTTGAATGCTCTACCTTTACTTCTTTAATCATGGTTTATTTGAACTATTATTATGACCATTTTGATTTCTAAACCTAAAATCTGGAACTTCTCATAACAAGTTTCTGTTGTCTATTCTTCTGCCCCAGTATTATTCACACTTGTTTCTTTGCATGTCTCAAACATTTTTGGAAAACTGGATATTTTGTAATGTATTTGAGCAATTTTTTGTAGATACAATTCCCCTTAGTCTTCATCAGGTATGGTTTTTGTCATCATTTACTTTGTAACTTTGCTAGACTATTCTGGTTAATTCTATTTCCCATGCAGCATAATGCCTTTGGTGTTACCACTCTTTGGAAAGTAAACACTTCTCATATGAAGTCACCTTGGGATGACAGCAGTTTTAGCATGGTCTCTTTGGCTGTCTCTTTGCCTTGTCTATTAAGCTCATTGCCTCATTGGGTATTGTGCCTAGCAATTAGGCCCAACTGTTAGGATGAAGTTTTATATAAACACAAATTAGATCATGTTGGTTAATAGTACTGCTAATTTTCCAACATCCTTAATTTTCTGCCCTTTGGTTCTATCAAGTACTGAAAGAATAGTGTTGAAGTCTCCAAGTATAATTGTAAACATGTCTACTCTTTTTTCAAGTCAGTTTTTTTGCTTTAATTATTTTGATGCTCTGTTCTTTGATGCATGTGTACTAAAAATTGCTATGTCTCCTTAGTACATTAACCATTTCTACATTATATAATGTCTTTCCCTCCAAAATTCTCATTCTATTTTCATAATTATTTGTAAACCTAAAAAGAAAGTGGTTTATTAAACTATGTATCACTAAAATGAGTAAACTTTAACACAAAAGCCTCATTGCTTTATTTACAATTTCTGGGTTATGACATCTTCTGATGAGAACTGAACACATACCTGAAAGAATTGACAGAGTAGTGGATTTTCCTGCTCCGTTATGTCCTAGAAGAACAGTGATCTGCCCCTCGTACAAATTCAAAGACAAGTCCTTAATCGCTACTTTGATAGCATGATTCACTTTGAATACCTGTGGGGGGGAAACCCACAAATACTAATTATATATATTTCACAATTGTTTTGGAAGAACAAGTACTCATATCAATTATCTATAGACAAAAATAAGACCACATCATTAATCTTATGAGGAAAAAAGTATAAAAAAGATAGAACTGTGAAAACAAACAAATTTCTACAGGAACATACATTTCAGAATCTCACAATAGATCTACAAATATCCTCTGAAAATTTCATCTGTTTCTGCTTTATTTCAATTACCATCTTAAAGTCGATCAGTTGCCACAATCATCTTCAGTTCATTTCTTTGTCTTAATTTGGAGAAATGCCAATAAAAAGCCTACACATAGATGTTTTTCTAAAATTTTCCCTTGTGTAGACTAGAAGTGCTTCTGTTTAGGATGCAAAAAGCTGGAAAAACATCATTTTCATTCTGGCAACAAGTAGAAGCTGAATAATTTACAAAACCATAACTTTTCTCCAACCCATCAGAGAGGTGAGGTTTACAGGCAAACAACTAGATTGAAATTTAATAAAACATGGAAACTTTCAAGGAGAGATGGTATGTGGATTTTCTCTTACCTGGAGCAGACATGAATGCTATATAAACTTGTAAGAAGATTTTGGTTACTATTTAATAAAAATGAGATGAGTACTGCATCACAACCAATCTCAAATTAAAGATACCTACAGTAACAAAAATGTATGGTATTGGCATAAAAACAGATATGAAGACCAATGGAATAGAACAGAAGACAAATTCACACACGTACATTCATCTGATCCTTGATAAAGGCACTGAAAACATACACTGGAGGAAAGAGAGACTTTTAAGCAAATGGTACTAGGAAAACTCAGTATACATAGTAGAAGAACAAAACTAGATTTCTATCTCTCACTCTGAACAAAAGTCAACTCTAAGTAGATCAAAGACTAGGAATGAGACCAGAAACTCTGCAACTGCTGTAAGAAAACATAGGGTCAACACTCCAACAAATAGGTAAAGGTATCGACTTTCTTAAAAAAGCCTCCTAAAACTAAAACCAAGAATCAATAAATGGGATACTATCAAATTAAAAAGCTTCAGTAAAGGAAACAATGAAGAATGTTAAGAGAGAGAGTCCTCAGAGTGGGAGAAAATATTTACCAGCTATTCTTCTGAAAAAAATACAAAATATCCAGAATACACAAAGAACTAAAAATTACCAAAGACAAAACAAACCCAAATAATCTCATCAATAAGTGGGTAAATGAACAGACATTTCTGAAAAGAAGAAATACAGATAGCCAACAAATATATGAAAAAAAGCATTGCAACGTCCTTAGCAATCAGGGAAATGCAAATCAGAGCTACACTGAGAATTCATTTCACTCCATTTAAAATGGCATCCATAAAGAATAGAAATAATAATAAATACTGGTGAGGATGAGGGGGAAAACACCATGTACTGTTGATGGGATTGAAAATTAGTACAACCACTCTGAAAATCATTATGGAGATTTGTCAAAAGACTAGGAATGGAACCATCACAGAACTCAGCTATTCTGCTCCTTAGTATTTAAAAAAATCTTTTAGTTGTAGATGGACATGATATCTTTATTTTTATGTGGTGCTGAGGATCAAACCCAGTGCTTTCCACATGTGAAGCAAGTACTCTACCATTGGGCTACAACCCCAGTCCATATTCTAGCTCCTTAATATTTATCCAAAATAATTAAAATCTGCAATGCACAGTAATATATGCTTACCAATGTTTATAGCAGCACAATTCATAAAAGCCAAATTGTGTAATGGGTCTAGGTGTCTCTCAACAGATAAAGAAAACATGATACACACACACACACACACACACACACACACACACTCACACACGATGGAGTTTCATTCATTCATAAAGAAAATTATCATCATCTCATTAAATAGTTGGTAAATAGATGGAACTAGAAAACAAAGTGCTAAGTGAAATAATGTCAAGAATCAAATGTTTTCTTTTATATGAATAAGATCAAGATAAAAAAGGAATAAAGAAGGGACCTCATTAAAACAGAAGGGAGACCAGCAGGTCTTTGGAGTGAGATGAAATCTCAATGTAGTTTTAATTTGCATTTCCCTAATTGCTAGAGATGTTGAACATTTTTTCATATATTTGTGACCATTACTTGATATTAAATAAAATCCAAACTTTTCCATAGCTTCCAAGTCCCCCTGCATGATTTGTTACATCTCAAAATTCATTTCATATAACACTTTTTCTTTTCTTCCTTCACTCCAACTTTTAATTTCCACTTGTTCCTTCTATTTCAGGGTTTGGAATTCTGTTTGAATTCATGTCCCTAATTTTTCAACTATCTGACTCATTTATCTCAGTTTACTGTTGCACATCTGAGTTCCCCCCAAACAATTCTCAATTAGAATGTAGGAAGTGCTGGGGATTGGGGAATTGAACCCATAGTTTTGTGCATGCTAAGCACACACTCTACCACTTAAAGAAGTGTTCACATGACTAGACTGGGAAAATGACAAGGCACAGGGTAAAGATAAGCTATAATACAGTTACTCCAAGGCCTCAGGAGATTCCAGGAGGAATTCTCAGGCTCAATATCTCCGCAAAGTCGAGGGACAAGGCCCTAATACTACCATGTTGAAAGGTAATTAGATTTAGGTATCCCAAAGAGGACCATGAACTTGGTTGTTGTGGTTCTCTTCAGTCTCAGAAATCACAACAAAGGTGACAGCTGAGAAATGTTAGCTGAAGCTATCAGTGACATAATAGCCTCTCTATAATTAGGGAGTAAGTCTTTCAGTCTAGAGGGTGGCATCTGAACAGAAAAGTGCATCATGTGGGAGCCAAATACATTCTTCCCTTTTTCACTATTTTAGTGAAAATTTTCCTACTTTCTGATGATCAGAGTCAAATGTTCATTGCCAAAATGCTGATTACTCTTGTTTGTTTGCTGGTCTCTTGGACGAAGGGTTCAAAGCAGTTGGGTAGCAATCAGTTTATATTTCAAAGGGGCTCTTGGGACGCCTTCTTCTGGGGAATCATCTTCCAGAGGCCATAGTCTGAATGACAGATGCAAATATTTTCCAAATGTATAACTGGGAGTACTGGTAAATAAGTCCAGTCCTGTTTCTACTCCTTTGTTTCCAATCATGTATACTATTTGCTGAGGACAAATCACCATACAACAGCCACTTGCTTTAGTATGTATCCTGCATCCTTGAGGACAACACCTCATTATTACAAGGTTTTCACTTCAGACAATTGCCTGAAATATGCCTTTACCAAGACAATAAGTTATTCCCTTGGGTTAGCAGGTTCTGAATGTGATAGGCCAGTGTATTATTCCATGGTTGTAGTTTCACTACTGTGCTTTCTTTGTGGCAAAGTGAATCTTTATGTGACACTTTGTGGGATCCCATACCAGTGAGATGTGTGGTTGGCCAAAGCTCTATAAGTAAACTATAAGTAGGAAAGGCAAAAATTCTACCAGGAATAAATTTTTGATTCATATCAGGATGAAATGAAGCTTCTTTCAGTTCAATGCATTAATCTAGCTTCCAAGTGATCTGGTTTTCTTGAGAAATGGTGATCAGCATTATGCTTTTTTGCTGACATGCTGGATATTTGGCAGTAGCAGTAGCAAGATAAGCCATGGTGAGAGCTCATGCTTTAAGTTTATCCTGTACCCTTGCCATTGCAGGTGATTATGATCACTGACAAAAGGCTGGCTGACGCTCACTGGTTCAATCAGTTTGTCTAGCTAGTTATTTACTGCCTCTCCTTTGGCATATAATCTCTGCTGAATGTTAACATTTACAAAGATCTTCACATTTTGTTCTGATTCCTGTATTTACATCACATGCCTCAATCCTAGAATTCCTTGTCCCCAATCTTCCAGTCTTTCTTCTTCTAGGACCCTGAATTAATTGTCTAGAACATTTATTCTTGCCTATGAGTTCAGCAATCTGGGGCCATGCTACACAAAGCAGATGACCATGTGAATGGTCTGAAGCTTTGTCCTTTTGGGGGAATTCCTCTTCATCTTTCAAGGCCCATTATTTGGGGCAGCAGTGTAGCTGCTAAGTTCTGGCTTTTACCCATGTACCAAGATGAGCTACCTATGGACAAAGCTCAAGCTTTTTCCTTGAGTTGGTTAAGGTGGATTCCTAATATAGCCATAGCTATGAGCTGAGAAAGAAGCACTGATGAAACTGGGGTAGAAGACATGAGGATCTAGACTCCCTGCTTACACAGCTTACTCATGTCCTTTGATTCTGCTCATGTTCAATCCTTTAGGTATTACTTCTATAATGGATTGCTGCTAGCCTTGCCTGTGCTTACTAATTTGGTAGATCTAATGAAATCCAACTCAAAATGGTTAGCCTGAACAAATGGTTATTTGACATGCCATGTTTAGCTGCTTCATCTCTATCAAGGCCAATARCAACATCAGCAACTATTTGTGAAAGATAGCTTTCTCTGATTCATTTGACGATGGCATGGCGTTGATCCAGAACTCTACTAATGCTTAACCATAAAAGCAATGATACATATTTTTAGTAGGACACCACTAATACCATAAAGTCAGCTTAATTGTAATGTCCAAGCAGCAGGAGTGCTTATACATGGGTCTGCTGCAGAGCCTTTCTGACTCTGGACTATACTCAAAATTGGCAGCCTTTGTGTCACTTCATATCAGAATCAAATTAGTATCAAGAGGTATAGAACATGCTGCTTTCAAAATGGTTTGGAAGTGTGGTGTCCCATAAAAGCTTGTGTGTGAGACAAGAAGGTTTGGAGGAGAAATGGTTGGGTTATAGCCTTAATCTAATCAGTGAATTAATCCCTGATGGGATTAACTGAGTGGTAATTGGAGGCAGGTGGGGTATGGCTGGAGGAAGTGGTTCATTTGGGAGTGTGGCTTTGGGGCATATATTCTGTACTAACAGAACCCAGACTAATACCTCCTAAAGATTTTACTAATGTGTCCCCAAATCTTTATAGGTTT